CGTGCACATTTAAAATAGTGCTTCTACACTCGTAGAGGAACCCGAAAAATGCTCAAGAAAAGATTTACGTTTAAAGGTAAATGAAAAAAAAAAAAAAATCAGCATAAGCACTCCTTGAAATTTTATTTGCATATTCTCTAAGGTTGCTCCTTCTTTAGCCGTTTCCAGTACGTGAAAGTTGGGCGACGATTTGACTTCCTGAAAACCGATTCTTAGTGATTTGTATGTTATGGAGTTTATCTCTGTTGCCGGCTCTATGTTTTCCATTGATTTAAAATGCTTTGATGCTGTGATTCTTGAGTTTGTCTCAGGTTGTTGCAGTCTTTGTATTCTCGGGTATTGAACTATTAAATTAACAACAACAAAGCTTTTTTCCACTAAGTAGGGTTGGCTATATGAATCCTAAAACGTTATTGCGCTCGGTTCTATGTCATGTCTTCGTTAGATACAAGTACTCTAAGTCTTTTCTTAGAGTCTCTTCCAAAATCTTCCTAGGATCTTCTTCTACCGCTTCGGTCCTTGGACCTCTGTCCCTAAACTACTAAATTAAGATTAAAAAAAATTAAGATTAACAAAATGGAATTAGAATATTCTAATCTAGTACTCTCAGACAAGAAATGGGGATTGTGGAAATGCTTATTGAATTACAATGAACATATTCTCAACCGCTGTTTCTGCACTTTGCCAACTCTTTTTTTTTTTTCCTGATTTAAGAAAACTTCATCTGAAGATTTTTTTCCCCAATATTTTGTTTTCAGTAATAATGTGGAAGCACGGAAACAAGTCGAAGGCATGGAATGGGCCTCCAACACGTTGGGTTGCATTTCTGGTTTTCGTATTGTCAGTTGGCAACACTGATCAAAAGACCAGTTCATTACTTGGACTTCCAGAGGAAAAGTGGAATAGCCTTGAGTCAGTGGTGAAATTTTCTCCAACCTTAGAGTTTCCAAATGGAACGGAAGTAATAGGCAAATACCAGATTCACCTAAAGCACTTCTTTTTCTGGCTCATGGTTGCGGAGGTAGAGCTCTATATTTTTGGGATAAATCTTCTCACTGCCCTGACTGCATTGGTTTGCCAGAGGAACGGCTAATTGCTCTTCATGCTCTTTCCCGAAAGTTTGCTGTCCTTACTATATCAAGTGCAGGGACATGTTGGACTATGAGGAAGGAGATAATTGTTGCTAAGGATATTATCAGATGGTGGGTTGAGAAAAACAAGCTTGAAAAGCTTCCTCTTGTTGCTGTGGGGGCCCTTCTGGGTGTTTGATCAAATGAAAATCGAAGAGAGCTACCCCCCTACACTTTTCATGCGCATGCCCAAAGACATGATTAGGCGGCAAAAGATAGGTAATTAAGTACATGAAAATTTTGAAAAAGAAAGGTGTTGATAACGATGTTGCAGAGATTGAATGCATGGAGTTCCCTTTGTCGCCACATCTGTTAGCTGATAGAATCCCAGGTCTTGATCAGTCTGTTTCTGCTAAGTTGTTTGAACTCTTCCGGAAAAGGGTTTTATCGATGAGAACGGATATATGAAGAATGATGGGCGTAAAACACGTTGGAAAGAAGTTGTCAGAGAGAGTAATATTGTTTCTCTAGACGACCATCTGACCCATTATATCCAGGAGGAGTTAAATCTTGCATTTGCGTACCATGAAATGACTAGCTTGCACGCTGACAGGATGTTTAAATGGTTTGAATCTCATATGAAGTAACTGCTTGTCAAATTCTCTCTTGATCTGCCTGATTCGGTGGATCTGGCCCTGGCTTTGTAGTAATTTAAAGGGTATGTACGGCGTAGCACCAGCTTTTCCTTCAGTACTTTGTCTTGGAGGGGATTGGAAAACACATCTTCAATCGTTCTTTTGGATAAATGTGACAACCGATAACCAGTAGGAAAATAAGCTCGTAAAAATTCGATAGCTATTCTGTATTACTGTATCCTGGTTGATCTTGAGTGTCATATTTGATTGACAAACCATGTAATCACAAGCATGAGATCGAGATGCACCACCTATGTCTAGTTGTTCATGGAGAATTAGAGCCCGTTTGGGCCTACTTTTGTCGGAAGCACTTTTGCTCATGCTTTGCTAGATGTGCTTTGTAAAAAACACGTCGAAATTTATACATCCAATTGCCGGAGCATTATTATGTGCATGTTGGAATTAATGCTGCTTGAGGGAACATGTGTAGCGATCGAATGGGTTGCACAAGAAACATATGCATCTTGAGACAGGCATCCGTAGGTTGCACAAGAAAATATCAGAAGCACTACTCTTTAAGTAAATAGAAGATGGCATTTAGTTGTCATGTCCCCTAATCCCTAAAACATTTAGAAACTAACTTGTATGCACTTTCTAGGTTGGACAATGGATGGTCACTCCACTGCTGTCATAAAATCATATAGCCACAGGCATCGCATTGCAGATTCATCTAAGTGGTTTTCATGGGGCAGAAACTAAAAATAGGCTTTAGCCAAAATAGTCCTTGAAATTGGTATACTTCCTCACTTTGGTCCTTAAAATTTGAAATCGAAAGAAGTAATCCTTGAGTTTATTCACCATAAATCATTTTGATCATTTCGTGAAAAATTTCTGGCACATAAGCTCCAAAATGACAAAAATACACAATTTAATAAATAAAGGGCTAAAATGAATTCAAAATTTGAAGGTATTTTTTTCATCGCTTTATTTAACAAATAATTTTCACGAAATGATCAGAATGATTGACGAAGTATTGATTTTAACAAATATTTTGGCCTTAAGCACAACTTCTAACGATTTTAAATCCTATAAACCAAAATAAAGAATTATACAAATTTCAAAACCATTTTGAATTAACAAAAAAAAAAAAAAAAACTTTAAAAATATGCGGACAATAATGGCCCCACTCTTTTTTCTCCTTTAACATATTTCTGTTGAAAATACTAGTGGGTAATGAATGCCCATAGTATTGAATACCTGCCACAACATTGAAAACATTGCCAAAGTGTTGAAAACCTTGGCAGAATATTGATATGTGGAGATTATATTGTCAAAGATGTGTGCTTGGAGTTGCTCTATAAATACAGCACTCCGTATGCTTTGAATAGAGAGCAGACAAAAAAAGAGAGAAAGAGGAGAGGAGAGAATACATAGAGTTATCTTTGTACTCCTATTATTCCAAATTATAATGAAAGCATCACTGCTGCCCGAGGACGTACTCCAGTCACACTGACTGTAGAGGAACCTCGTAAATTTTGTGTCTTGTTTTATTTATTCCACTGTACACACATCGTCGATTTTACAACAATTTCGTATATTTCCTTTTTTTAAGTTGGGTAGGTATCCATTTATTATTATATTTAATCCTTCATTGTACTATTAAGTACATTTAATATATGAGTCCGGATCCTCTTTGTGATGATCCCGAAGGTTCGTGAATTGTACCTGTTTATCGTACATCGTATGATCATAAATTATTTTAAATATTTTTATTTAAAATAAACATAAACATAATTGACAATAATTGACCACACGATGAATGATAATCAGACATAATTCACGAATCCCTAAAATCCTCACAAAAGAATCCAGAGCGGATTTAATAGATTAAGCTTGTTTGTCTAATTGACCTTGGCTGGGACTTGCATTTAAGTCAAATTTCAATTATATGATCTTTGTCGCTTATTTAGCTCATACCAAGTTTTGTTTTGTTTGTATTGTGTGCTTTTGTAATTGATTATGTACCATGTATTTGCTTTAGCATTGGCTACACATTTGACCAAGATTAGCTTTTGTAATGTTATTTTTGTGATTTAATGAATTGTGGTCTGGTTCAAAGAGAATGACTTATATGACATGAATACACTGTTATGGTGAAGTTTTTTACTGGTAAAATAAAGACATGTAAGCTTTTACCACATGTCCTTATTTCATTAGCATGAGATATCACATGAAGATATACTCATATCATGCAAGTTGTTCTTCCGGTTCAAATGTTTTTGGTTAATTTAGCTGGATGTGTCCTTTTAAACATTATATTATGCTGAGAAAAGTTTGAACATGTCATTTAAGAGGGCATTCTGCAGATACAGGGGACCAAGGAAAGCTATATATATATATATATATATATATATATATCTCATCAATCTTTGTGGAAAATGACTTATATAGAATGGGTTCACTGCTGTCATAATGACCGATTTCAATGAAACACATGTCATTATTTTACTAGATCGTGACATTAGGTGACGGTGAACTTATTGCATATAAGTTGCTCTCATCTTTTTGGCATTACACTCCCATTCAACTGCCTCACTCCCTAGTTTTTAGTTATCCCTTCTTAAACTTTCAATCAAAAGTGGACTTAATGATATAGATTTTTGTTTGACATAGCGTATTCTAAATTAATACTCTTATCTATGGGGAGGGGGTATTTGAACTTTGGTGACCTCAATAATTGGCCTTACTCACATATGCAACTTGGTGATCCATTTAGAAAGGGAGGGAAACTAGGATTTGTATATGATTAAAACTTTTGTTGCGTTTCTTCTTCCCGTTAACAGTGCTAACAGTTTTATTTCTGTTATGTTCTTGTGCTTGTGTTTTGCATTTTCTACAGATATCCGTTCGAGTATGATTAGCACGCGAGTTAAGATGTCATTAGGATTAGGAGATCGATTACAACTTGGAGATTTCATGCTTTCACTTAACAAGAAATGATCCGTACTGATAATTTAAGACGGTGGTCCTTGCACAATTTCTTTTCTGCAACACGAAACAAGCGTTCAGCAGTATGAGCTGCAGAGGTGGTACTATAGTTTTATTAACATGTAATTTTTACGTGAATTTCATCTACTTTATTTTTCATAAATTAACATTGTCATATCGTTTTCACATTAATTTAGTATCTAAAATTTGGGATTCGTTTTAGCGCTTGTAGTATTGTTGCTTCTATTTATACTGCATGAGATATGAACTCAATAAAATCTTGAATTATATTAAAAACTAATTAAGATGATAAAAGCTAAGTATTAAATAAATTTAAACCAAAGTTTGCATATCTTAACATGCTGTAGTGCTGCAAATTTGATTAGAAACTAAGAACGTAACGTTCTAGAATAATGACAAACAAACACTCTGAAGTCTGTCTTAAGTAGATATAAGTAATTAACAACTCATAAAGATTAACTTTGAACTTAAATTAAATGAAAGCAAATGATGATTGTGATTGAGATCAGGCTCTGGGCTTGAGTTTTCCTTCGTTGGCAAGCTTGAAAACGCGGGCTTGAGTTGCTGCCGCCTTGTTCGATCCCAGTGCACTGACGAAGCTGTCCCTGACTTGGTTGGTGGTGAAGTGGAACCTGTTATCCACCATGGCATTCAACAAGGCAGCAGTTCCTTGTCTGTAGAGCTCTCCTAGCCCGTCGGTGCGGGTGTTGGAAAGTGCCTGCGGGAGGCTCATGGTGCCGGATCCGATCCCTGGAAGACTAGACACGCCAAAAGAATTGCCCAAAGTTCCCCACCAGCCCAACAGACCCCATATTAGTGTGGGGTGGCTCCCCCAGTAGCTGCAAAACAAGGCAATTTATGAATTAGAGATGAAGTTTAAGTTATGAATATGTACCATTTTTGTACGTGATCATTTTACCATCTACAACATCCGGTACATAGTCGACATGTAGTCAAATATCAACCAAATAATAGTAATGTGCCAAATACTGTAGATTGATACTAGTTACCAGCTAATCACTGCGTATTATTTAAACCAGTTACTTACTTGCATGTGAAGGGTGGAAGGGAGTTGGGGCCAGGAAGGAAAGGAGGAGAAGGGATGGTTGGCGTGTTTGGATCAATTGGTGGGGTTCCAATTACTGGTGGGGTTCCAGTGACTGGGATCGGGGGGCTTAGAATGACTGGGGTGGGAGGGGTACCGATTTCTGGTGTGGTTGGGGGGCTGCCGCCGTAAGTTGGTGGCGGAGAGTAGTAGTAGCCACCACCGCTTGGAGTTGATGGAGTGGATGGAGTGCTAGGGTCATGTGATGGAGTTGGGTTGTGGTGTGCTGGTGGGGTGCCACAGTTGGAAGGTGGTGATGGTGTGGGATTGTAGCTTCCACCACCTCCATGAGACGGGGGGCTTTGAGAGCCGCCACCATGTGATGGTGGCCTGGACGGAGTTCCGTGTGAACCTGAATTAGTAGGAGAGGTCATGAGAACACATGTTAGTGAATGCTTGACATAATATCATTTGAGAAAGAGAGAGAGAGAGAGAGAGAGAGAGAGAGAGAGAGACCTCCAGGGGGACTGTCGGAGTGGGGGTCTGGTGGAGAGTAGAAGTTCTTCTGGTCTTGGACGGTGGAGGACATGACAGGGACGACCAAGTTCTGGGAAAGTAACCCAGCAACCAAAGTCCACAGAAACAAAGAGGCAGCATTGCTTCTCACTCTCCCCATTTTTGTCTGCTTACTTTGAAGAGTAAGGAATTAGCGAGAAGAAGTGAAGAAGGGTGGTGGAGTAAGTGTAGGGAGGAGGAAGAGGGTGAATATATAAGGGAGAAGTTAATATTAGCAGGTGAAGGAGTGTTGTAGTTAGTTGCTGTGTTGAAGGTGCATTTACTCCTCCTATTTACTCCATTGTGTTTCTTACAGTAATGGTGTCAACTTCTTAAGTTGCTAGCTTTTGAGACACATACCATAATCTCTCTCTCTCTCTCTCTCTCTCTCTCTCTCTCTGATATGGGTGTTGACATAATATTGGTTGTGATCTGGACAGATTGTATAACTGGGATTAGAGAGCTTATTGCTTTTTTCTTTCTTGATGAAGCCTTTACTTCCAAAATTGAAGTTTACAGAGCATGATATTACATAAAATTATAAATTCTACCAAGAAAAAATAGATATCCCCTCCCCTAGCCTTGTATGTAGTACAATATTTGGAAACCAATGCATGATCGGCCTTCAGCTAGAGGACTTGTGTAACATAAGTACCCTATCACTGCAATGTCTCCTATAAATCATATAATGAAATAAGTAGGTAACTCTTCATTTGACATTATATGATTGTCAGAAGACACCACAATACATCAGTATCCGTGCCACATGAAAGTTGTTCTCCTTCAACTAGCTTGTTTTTTTAATTTTAATAAAATTCTTATCCAATATAAAAAATTGGGAGCAAGGTTTGAACTTAAGTGTAGCAGAGAAGCACATTGCTCTAATCAGCTTAGCTAAGCCTAAATGTGCTGAAGTGTGTCTTGCATTGCTATTTAAGATAAAAACCCTGAATATAGCCTGAACCCAATTTGAAATAATCTCAAAACCAAGTCAAGCCTTGACCAACCTGTCAGTTTTCCAAAATCATTATCCTTGTATTAGCTCATCCTGGTCCCAATTCAACCTGACGGGATGATGTGTTAAATATGAGATTATGTATTAAATTAATTACAATTTGGTACATAAAATTGTTTTGGAAATAGTGGAGCCCTACCCATAAATTTGTGTAAATTGCGATGGGTCACATGAAAATTTTCTAAAGTACTTTGCACATCCATCTCCTCTCTACCATCTTCATATTTGTGATGGGTTGGAAAATTGGAAAACATTCAATCCATGTACTTGGAAGATCTTTGTGATTGTTGTTGGAAAAGGAAATTAAAACTGGACCGACTTCTTGTGGGGCATCACATTTTTTAAGATTTGGCCACGGTTTCATGCAAATTCCCCACCTTGGTCTGCTTATAAATTTGCAGCTAGCTAGCTCAAAATGTTACAATGGAAATTGTAGCCAAGAAAATATATATGTTAAAGGTATGGTGTATAATATTTTCTTCAACAACTATGGTACATTTGTGTAACTGATGGCGACCACTAAAATTTCTATAGAGAGAGAGAGAGAGATGAAGTGGGTTCTGTATGAAGGTTAATGAGATCTGCAGAGAAGTAGGTGAGATTGCACAAATGTGTGGGCAGGGGAGAGTAAAGAAAACATCGAAGTAGGGTATAGTATAGGGTTTTGCAATTGAATTTCTTTTCAAGTTTCAAATCTGCCATTGACCATAAATTTTAAGCATACGAAGGGAACCGAGCGATTATTTTACTATGCTCTAGTGTATGCTATAGATCATGATTTTTAACCGTTTCGTTGTTGAATTCTTGACCAAGAATCTGACGGCTAAAAATTCTGATCTACAAGACCTGGAGCATACTAGAAAATCCCAAGAGAGGATACGACATGAGAGTGATGAGATTTTACTTCAAGTTTTCAATCTAAGTTCAATGGCTGTGTAAGAGAGACAGCATGGCCAATGGGGATCCTGAGTTGTCACACATTTAGAGAAAGCCCTAGTTAATTAATGGCTGTGTAACAGCGAACTGTGAAGCTCTAAGTTAAATTTAGCAGCAGTGCCAGTGATCGATGGCAAGGCCTATGGAGCTTGCTAGCTACTAGCTTAGCTAGAAACCGATGAAAGCTTTCTGTGAACTGAAATAATAAGAGGGTTTCTGTTGGTCGTTGAAAGCATTAATCCCATAAAATTCTCCAGGAAGTTGATGCAGTTACCAGACAAATATATGACTTGAGAAACTCCTTTGAGCCATTTCAACAGCTCTGGTTGGTTTGGTCTCACATTTGGAGAATCCCAATGACATTTTTTTTGTCATCAAAGCCCAAATTTATGATTTTTTTTTTTTTTTTGTTTTTTCATGTGGGAAATACTACAAAACTTTTCTCTCCTAGGAAAAATATATTCTCATATGATCGAGGCTTTGCACAAGTTTGGGTTAAGTATGGTGGATTAGGGCAATTTTCACACCGAGTGAGATCAAAATAGATAAATAATTTGTGAGAGGTACTCTACATATAACAGGGTCGGACACCCATACCGAATTACAAATGAGTCAAAGAACAATGGGTTTGTCCAATGGTAATCAAGATTAAAGATATAACCTAGTTCATCAATTCTAAACTCAGAGGCTAATTTGCTATGTTGTAAAAACAATTTTTCTTGACCCAGACCTTTCTTAGAATTCCCATTAAGATCCCATTTGGTTTTCTTCGGAGAGGAGAGCGTGGGTTTCATTGTATCTGTAGTACACAAGTCCTACTTCTGTGGAGTTTCCTGACAGGCGAGAGAGAGAGAGAGAGAGAGAGAGTGGCTGCAAATATCATAAATACACCCAGGTCCCCAATTTGCTTTTGCTGCAGAAATATGACTTTACTGCTGCTTCTGTTCTGTGTGCAAAAAGTCCAACTGCTGCTTCTGTTCTGTGTGCAAAAAGTCCAAAAGCCTGAATCCCTTCAAATAAATGTGGTTATAATTTATACCAGCAACTGCTAGAACAACCGACTCCCTCTCAAACTACATCCTCAAATATTTGTGTATATGCAGAGCAGCGTGAGATCCTTTACAAGGTCGATGCTTATGCTTTCAGCGTGAGATCGATGATTATGCTTTCAAACTGAATATGGATCATTGATTGTGTCCGCTCTTGTCGGAATGCTGTAAACACGAAATTTCTGCAGCAAACGAAACGAACATGTGTACAAAATAATTGTATTGGTATCAAAGAGTTTAGGGTTGCAATCTCTGTTTACAAGGTCGATCCTTTGATTCGATTTTCGAAGATGCGTAGATGTGTGTTGTTGATCCGAGAGTCACAATGAATTGATCTGGGATAAATGACTGCCGCATGGATTTGACTTGTGGCGATGGAAGAACCGGCATGGTGCAGTAGTGCTTAATGATTCTTTATGGGTTTGAAGAAGAACGCGGAGGGTTTTCTGAGTCTTCTTGAGTGTCTTGGGTGTTCCAAGTCCTTGAGTGTCTTGGGTGTTCCAAGTTTTCTTGAGTGTCTTGGGTGTTTGGGGGGTTTGAGAGCTTCAGAGTTTTAAAGCTTCAGCGTATGGCCGTGAATGATTTTTCTAGCCCCCTTTCTTTGTCTTGGAGCCTCGTATTTATAAACCCTTCAAGTCTTGCCTGCGGATAGATTTGGCCTTGATTGTGGGCTTAATTGACAAAAGAACCAGGACTCGATTTGCGGGTCGATTCGTGATTTGACTCCACCAATTAATATTTGATTTAGTTAAATTAAAATCAAATAATTCCTTTCCACCAAGTGTTGACACGTGTCCTTCTTGATGACTCGTCCGATTTTGATGAGTTACGTCCATATATACAATTTGTGAGACACAGGACGCATGCCACGTATACCTTAACATATCGAAACTTTAATGTGTTGGTGAACATTTATTTAAAATTTCAATGTAAAATGCATAATCCATATGCACAATGCGTTGAATATGAGTATTTTTCCGAGAATATAAGTGTAACAAAATAACATTACTCGGATTTATATACACTAACCTATCTTATCTTCCGTATTGGAGGATCATGCACTTAAGGAGAGCTTATCATTCCATGGAGTGTATCTATAAAGCTTATCTTTTCATGGTGTATATATATATAAAGCTTATCTTTAGGAATAATATTCCACAAATGGATCCACAAAATTTGGTCCCTAACATGGCTGTGGTTAATTTATGCATGCGGCACGCCCTTCGCATGATGATAAATATGGTTTCTTAGCATTTGGTTTGACCACAATCTTTATAAATTGCTGCATACCTATAATACAAAAATATACACAAATGAATTTGATTGCTAAATTGCATGGTGTAGGGAGGAGACACTAAAACGTTGATAAGGGAGGCACTAAATTGCATTTGTGTATCCTTAATTGTCGGTTTTGTGTCACTCATATTCTATTTTTAACTAAAAGTTTGTAACAATTTATGCATAAAGCCAAATTACACAATAATTTGATACTGAACTCAACCTTATAGGAATCAAACTTAAGACTGTTTTGCTAATGACAAGTATCTCTTGTTGTTGAAATCAAAATTGAAAAGATTCCACGGTTTTCATCACCTCTTAGCTAATCTTCATCATCGTATCAGCAACCGTACCAGATTTTTTGGGATTTCTTTTCTTTTCTGTGGTTGGTCACCCATTTCGAAATATGCAACTTACCATGGACGTGGTTAATTTATGCATGGATCCACAAATTTTGGAATAATAATCCACACGTGGATCCACAAATTTTGGTCCCTAACATGGATGTGGTTAATTTATGCATAAGGCATGCTCTTCGCATGATGATAATATAGCATTGGTTTTACCACTCTTTATAAATTGTTCCATACATATAATACACAAAATATACACAAATGAAACTCGTTACTGAACTGCATTATGCAGGGAGGAAGCATTAAAAAGTCAATAAAAGGGCACTAAACATCAATAAATTAAGGGGCACTAAATTGCATTGTGTATTGCTCATTGTTGGTTTTGCGTCACTCGAATTCTATTTTTGATTAAAGGTTTGTTTAAGTTTGATTTAAGTATAAATCCGACATTATTGTGAAGCAGTTCCAGCATGGAGACTTCCAAGGTCTCTTCTTATATTTTTCTTAGTATCGTTATTTAAGTTGAGAGGCTAAACTAAACTGTACAACGGTTTGCAATAATTTGATGCTGAACTCAATATTAGAAAAGTCAAACTCAAGACATACTGTATTGCTAGTGACATGTCTCTTTTGTTGAAATCAACAATCATTATAGATTGAAAAGATTCCACGGTTTACATCATGCGTTAGTTAATCTTCATCATCGCATCAGCAACCCTACCAGATTTTTTGGGATTTCTTTTCTGTGGCCGATCACCCATTTCGACAATATGCAACTTAACGTTGAGTCAACGTAACAGGAAAATCTGAGCTGTTGATTTGTGATAAAATAGTCCTGGGACGGTTTACGACTTCATGATTGGTTGACTTTTCTGAAAATATCAGGGGTTGTGACTTTCTGGTTTTTTCTTCTATAAAGCAAAAACAATTTGCTCGCCTGATACCACATTATAATTAGAACTATCAAATTTCCAACTTTTTTAGTCCATGAAATCATCGATGGCAAATGAAATTAGCAATCATTATTCTTTTTGTTTGTTCTGTTTCTTAGCTGCAACGGTCTTTTTCATCGGTTTCTTGGGGCACAAGCAACGCCGTAACACGAATAAGAAAAGACTGCCACCGGGCGAAATGGGGCTCCCTTGGTTAGGCCAGACAATGGAGTTCTACAAAGCTGAACGGAAGAACAGTTTGTTTGATGATTTCGTTCAACCCCGGATTGCGAAATATGGTAAAATCTTCACAACGCACCTGATGGGATCACCGACTGTGATTGTAAATGGAGCCAATGCTAACAAGTTCCTGCTGTCCAATGAGTTCAAGTTGGTGGTGAGCTCGTGGCCTTTAGCGTCGGTTCATCTGATGGGAGAGGACTCCATCATGGAAAAGCAAGGGAAGCGGCACCGCTGCCTGCACGGGCTTATAGGGTCGAGCCTTGGCCAGGCGGTGCTTGAGACGTTGGTGCCTAAAATATGCCACTCTGTGCGGTTGCACTTGGACACTAAGTGGAAAGGCCAGGACGAGATTAGCCTTTACCTGCTCGACGAAAATTTTGACGTTTACCATAGTGTTTGAGTGCTTTTTGGGGATCATTGTGGAGGCAGAGATGTTGGGAACATTTGAGAGAGTTTTGGAAGGGGTTTTCACAGTGCCAGTTCAGATTCCTGGTTCGAGGTTTTGGAGAGCAAAGAAAGCGAGGGTGGAGATAGAGAATATGCTGATTGAAGTAGTGAGAGAGAAGAGGATGCAAATGGAAGGCAAGATAGAAGCGGAGGACGAGCAGGGAGGAACATTACTTTCACAATTGGTGGCTGGGATGATTTGGGGAGACATCACTGAGGAGGAGGTTGTTGATAATGTGGTGTTGCTTGTTTTTGCAGCTCATGATACTTCCTCTTTCGCCATTGCCATGACTTTCAAAATGTTGGCTCAGCATCCTTATTGCCATAGTGTTCTACTGAAAGGTATGTAACATTTCGTGCAGTCCAAGTTCATCGATTTCAATCATGAACTTATCTGTGAGTTACATTTCATTATATCAGAACATGCTGAGATAATGAGAAGCAAAAGACCAAGGTGAAAATCTGACACAGGATGACACAGAAGATGAAGTATACCTGGCAGGTTGCGCGTGAAAGCATGCACCTATTCCCTCCAATCTTCGGCTCTTTTAGGAAAGCCATCGCCGACATTGAGTATGAAGGCTTTACCATTCCCAGAGGATGGAAGGTACATGCCTTCTGCTTTGCACCTTACATTTTTACACCGGTGTGTACTTACAGTGCTTGTACTAATTTCTAGTGGTTAATTTCATGCAGGTGTTGTGGACAACATATGGAACACATTACAACTCTGAATACTTTCAAGATCCTCTGAGTTTTGATCCAAGTCGGTTTGAGGAGTCAGTCCCCCAAAATTTCCCAAAGCGCAACCCGAGAATTCTTGCAACTGGATGCATAAATAGCCAAGCAGGCTCACAGTATCCGAAGATTTAAGCAGTGAAGTCCGGTTTTCTGAATCAGGGTCTCATCCCATAAGATGTGAAGACTACATTCATTGTAACTTATATTTAAAGAGCGGTTGTAAATATACATTAAACATATGAAGATTTTTATTGAAAGAAGAAAGCATAGATTTCTAATCAAGAATCATGAGCTAATCATTTCAAACATCTATGGCAAAAAAGGTCCTTCAAAATGACAACTCATGGGAAATTTGTCGCATGGTTGGTCGAGATTGTGGATTCGTTCGCACGCACGCATGTGCAAGGTTTGCAACAGTGATCACTTTTTCCACAACAAGATTTCCAGGAGGCGGGAGCCTCTTGTCCAAGACATCGTTCAGTTGTATAGGTTTGGGTGTTGATGTTGAGGACAATGACAAAAAATAGGAGAGGAGGTCTCCGGGATGCTTTCCCATGATCATTTCTAGTGCTACCACTCCAAAGCTATAAACATCGCATTTCTCATTTGTTTCCATCGTGTATGCAAACTCTGCAAAACAAAGACCAAGTCATGATGAGTAAAAGCAGGAAATAAGTACTTACGTTAAATGGAAGAATATATTCAAGCAGAAGATAAGTACCTGGAGCACTGTATCCGAATGTGCCTGCAAATGAAGTCCAATTTGAAGTCTCAAGATTCAAGAGCTTAGCTGTACCAAAATCGGAAACATAAGCTCCATATTCCAAGTCCAGCAAGATGTTCTTACTTGAAATGTCTCGATGTAATATCGGAGGTGAACAATCATGGTGCATATACGACAATGCATTAGCAACATCCTTGACAGCATTCACCCTCTCAATCCATCCAAACTTAACCGCATGGTTTTCGTCGGTCAGTATCTTTTGCAAGCTTCCTCCGTTTATGAAATCATACAACAAAAGAGGGTGCTGCGGATGCGAACAGAAACCATAAAGCTTCAAAATGTTTCTGTGACGAATCTCTGATAGAGTACGAACCTCACTCTCGAAAGCCTTGATGTTTGCCACTCCACTATCCTGTAGCATGTGGAGTTTCTTCACCGCAACAATCCGGCCTGTGGGCAGCTCAGCTTTATAAACACTTGCATTGCCTCCCACCCCCACAAAATATTTGGAGTTGAATCCCTCTGTGGCTTTAATGATGTCTTCATACTCAAGTCTTCCATCATAACTCCAAACCGCAAACTGGTCTTCATTTTGCGCTTCCTGCGGATAGCAGATCACGCAAAGAATCCCGGTTACCACAAATGCAAACAGCAGGATGCCTAAAATAAGGACTACAATGAAGATAATCGATTTGCTGCTCTTTTTATCCCCTCTCGTTTCTGACGGACAAACATTCAAACCTGTGGCATTGCCACACAAGCCTGTGTTATTCGCAAATGCTAGAACCAAGGCCTCGTGGAATGCTCTGTTGTTGGGAAGAGGACCCTCCAAATGATTGTATGACATATCAACAACTGTCAAGCTCAACATGTTATCGAACGTAGATGGGATCGAACCAGAGAGCTTGTTGTGGGAGAGATTCAAGGTTTCCAACTTCATCAAATTTCCAAGCTGTGGTGGAATTTCACTCATCAGTGAATTTTGACTGAGATCGAGAACTTGAAGAGCGTTTATGCTTGCCATCTGAAGAGGAATGCTCTCACTAAATCTGTTTCTGCTCAAGTTCAAGTTCAACAACACTCTGCACCCGTCTAATTTTTCTGGAATTAGTCCACTGAAATCATTTGCTGCTAAGTTAAGATGTTGTAGATTGGTTAGCAATCCAATCTCCGAAGGCACACTGCCTGAAAGTTTGTTGTCACCTAGGTTAAGGTTGAACAAGGATGTCAACTTCCCTATTTCCTTTGGGATTGTCCCGGTGAGATTATTCGAAGATAGGTCAAGCACATGGAGCTGAATTGATCCCTCAAACCGAGGTATCTCCCCGGAAATTCTGTTGTTGCCAAGCCTCAAGCTTTGTAAGTTTTGGCACTGCTCCCAGTTTTCTGAAAGCTCACCATAGAATCTGTTGTAACTCAAATCGACAGTAAATTAGTTTCGGATAAATGCCAAACTCTTGAGCTATATTTGCTGTCAGCTGGTTCCTCTCAAGCCTCAATCTAACTAAACTGGTGCAGTTCCTCAAGCTTCTAGGCATGGGGCCTGTCAACTGATTGTTGTGTGCCGTAAACAGTTCGAGGACTCCGCTGATGCATATATCGTGGGGAATGCTGCCGGAAAAAAAGTTGTTGCTCAAAAACAACTGCTTCAAAAATGTAAAATTATTCAGTCCTGAAGGAAGAGAGCCATTGAGTTTGTTATCCACCAATCCCAAATGAGTAAGAAATTTGAGCTTTCCTATTTCAGGTGGGATATTTCCAATTAATTGATTTCCCATCAAATACATCTCCTTGAGGCCGCTCAGGTTGCCTATTGTGGAAGGAATTGCGCCGGAGAAATTGTTGCGTTGAAGGGCAAGAACAGTTAAGCTGGACAGGTTTCCGATTGCTTCTGGAATCGAACCCATGAGACTGTTATGCGCTACATTGATCACACTGAGTGAATTCAGCATGCATATTTCTGCAGGGAGATTTCCAGAGAGATTGTTTTGTTGGAGGGACAGAATGGTTAAGTTGCCCAACATTCCAACTGCATGTGGAATGGACCCATTGATGTTGTTTCCAGCAAGATCAAGGATTTGAAGGCTTTTCAAAAACCCTATCTCCAGTGGGATTGTTCCGAAAATCGCATTGTGGCTCAGGTTAAGGCTCATGAGACTTGGGAAAGATGAGAAACTAAGTGCATGAAGCGTACCTCTTAAGCCAGAAGAAGTGAGGTTTATTTGTGTTATGCTTCCAAAATTGTTACAAGCAATTCCTTCCCAATTGCATATGTTGTTTCCAACCCATGAAGGCAAGAGGGAGAGACTTGTGCTGTTGTCAAGGCTAGCTTTCCAATTCAGAAGTGCTTCTGCTTCTGCTTCTTGTCCTGCTGTTGCTGCTGAAGCCGAAGAAACCAACAAGAGAATGAGTATAATAGGGATGAAAGAATGCGCTTTTTCTTCTTTGGATGCCATGATTTTAAGTTGTGAGGATTATTTCATTTCTGGAAACCACAAGATGACTCAAGAAAACCATCTGCCAAATTAAGCTGGTTTGGTATTGAGGAAGAGTTTGGTGCTCTTATTATATATAGGGTAAATTACACAAAAGTATAGGTCGAACTATTGTCTCATACATCACGTTTTAAATATTGCAATATCATACTACAATTTATGAATTCATTTCAATGTTAAAAATCTGTTAAGTTTTTTGTCAATTTAGCTGTTATATGATGACATGACAGAAACGGGATCTACTCGTTTGCCAATTAGGATAAAATTAATTAATTAATTAATACATAAAAAATTATTATTTTTTATTCATTACACTAGAAAGAGGAAGAGGAGGTCACGGACTGCAGGGCCGTGAATCGGTGGAGACGACCGCGTCAGGTTGACATCCACCGCCTGCTAGGGTTCTGGTGCTGTTTAAACTAAAAAGCCAATTACAAGCAAATAATAAGAATTAAAAAAACAGAATTTTGTGACTAATCTCAGTTGGGATATTTTAATTATTCAAATTGAACCAAAGGAAAAAGGGAAAGCGATAATCTTCTTTGCTTCTCTCACATCCAAACCAGAGCACAGTAAGAAAGGGAGGACTGAATTATGATATTGACAGGAACCTTCGGGATTGTCATCATCGGAAAACATGGCGTTGCAGCCAATTCGCTGGCATTGAAACAGAGCGGCCCGCTGACCCTCCATCCTCTCTCCTCGGTCTCTCTGTCTGTCTAAGAAAAATACGAGCCTTCAGCGACAGAGACCTACTGGAGAATTGAGATTTGGGAAGAATTTGGCGACGGTTAGGAGGGCGGCGGTCGTAGTGGGATGATGGTACGGTGACGGAGAATGGACATGGAGGAAATTGGCATGGAGATTTTGGCTACAGTGATTAATTTTGGTTAGGGACATAGGTGGCTGGTTTGTAGAGGGTGGGTCCACATTTTGTAATTAAAATTATTTAAATGATTTTGTTTTTAAAATTTTAATATTTAATTAATTTTTTAATCCAGTTGGGTTCTAACCAAGCCAAGTTAGTATTTAACAGAAAAATTGACAGAAAAATTAACGAATGTCTGATATTGCAACAAATTCATAAAATGAGGTATAATTTTGTAATTTTCAAAATATGAGATATGAGATTGTAATTCAATCAATAATTAAGATAGTTTTGTGTAATTTATCCTAATTATATACACATACAAATGGATTTATATATGGCAACATGTAGGTAGTGATATGATTGAATTACACGTCTCTTAGTCTTGAATTTATTATAAATTAACACGACACTTGTTCATTATAATTTATGAAGGATTTTAGTTAAGAATATTTAACTTTAGAGACAATCTTGATGGAACAAGTCAATTTCCAAGATTATTTATGATAGAAATCGTTAAATATATGTAGAAGATGGTGGGACCATGGACGTCCAAGTCTATGATCAATTACTTTTTTTTTTAGTACATTGATATTTTTTACACTAAGAAAATGAGGAATTCGGCTAAATCACACAATGGGCAATCTAATTTGGTATCGAATTTTTCATCCACAAGATTCGAACTTATGACCTCTCACTTTCAAGTGAAGATAAATACTACCAGACCATAGCACTGAATGACGATCAATTACTTTATTAAACGCGTGAAAAAAGTTCCTTTGTTTATAGTATAGTATTGACTGGTGGCCGTGTGAATGCTGAGAAAAGTGAGAACATAGACATGAAATTCTGATTTAAGAACTTGAGGTGGACCAAATACGAATGCTAGTGGTGTCTTAAAAAATGTGTTTAATTAGCTTTAATAAATTAGAGAGGTGCAAGGCACTAGGCAGCGCAGCAGCCTCATCCATACGGAAAAAGATTAGGTTCAAATTTTAGCCGCCTCGGAATAGATTTTGTAATTTAACCTTTGAAATTATGTCAAATTAGGTGCCAAATTCGAATTATCTGACTAATTCTAATCTTAAAAGTTAGCGATACTTGCATCATCTAAGTTACTTCTTGCACCATCTAAGTTACTTCTCAATGTTATCTATTAGCATTACTTGCACTATCTAAGTTACTTCCTGAGGGTAAACTCTGTGATATGATGCCAGTTCAGGTTTTTCAAAGTCATGGTATTGATAATGCCAGAGAAAATGCTTAGGAGTTCAACTTTTTGCACGTTCAACATGCGCCAGCACGAGCACGACTCTCTTATTTGACCTCAGTACGTAAACCATCATAGCATGCATGCACCCGGCAACAATATGTTGAAACAACAACGTGTTACGGCATAATATGAGGTTTTTTAAGAGCTATTGAATACCTTTCCTTAATTTACAGGTCGGTTTTTAGAAACAAGTTTTGTCTATGAAGAGAATTTTTGGTAGGGACCGCATGCAGTGGAGTCACGAAATTACACGAGGAGGAGTCTCATATAAATGTTAAAGAAATAAAATAAATAGACAGATATATTTACAAGAAAATATAACACATGTTTGGAGTTGTGATCTAGTTAAATTTATTGAGGAGCTAATGTTTTTTTTTTTTTTTTTCATGTTGAAATTAACCTTCGAAAAATCAAGTCAATATAGAGAGTTATTAATCAAAATTAAGGAGGATTAAGAGAAATTAACCTTTCAATATCAAGTCAAAATAAAAGGTTAGGAATACCATGTTTTTAGACCATATTTTGAAGACCACATGATGTGACGATTGATAATTAGATTCTTTCTTTAATGATTTGAATAGTAGTCCAATTATTAACTTCTATATTATCATGTGGTCTCAAAATATGGCTAAGTAGATAGTCTCTCTATCATCACTCCAAGTCAATAAAAAATAGATTGGGAATTTTCAAACAAAGATGAGAAGAATGGAATGGGAATTTAGAGAACAAAATATCTGAAATATATAAATCTAGTAAAAAGTTAAAGAGAATGGACAAATTTACAATCCTAATATTGTTATGGGTTGGGAATTTGAAGGATAAAATATATGAAATTTCAAAAAGGGGAGGAAAAGTTCGAAGTTTTTTATTCTTCGCTTGGCAACGTAAATAATATATTTTAGTAAAGCTAAACAAGACTTTAGGTTTTAATTTTAAGAGTTATTGATTTGTTCATAAAGTAAGATGTTAAATTTAGTTTTAGGCTGAGCGTTGTTGTGGTTGAAAAGAGAAAAAAAAAAGACCTCTTATTTTAACTGTTGGTGAATAAAATTTAAGAGTTTTATGTAAATTAAGGGAAGTATAATACTAATAAAGAATGAATTAAATTGTTGACCTCAAATCAACCATCCATGGACCATGCTTCAACTCTAGAGTACAACTTTGTCTTCTCTTATGAATTGAAACCAGTTTCTTCTAAGTCTTTACCTATTGTTTAGGTTAATATTTGAATATTGGGCTTGAAAGAAATAAAGCCCAAAGATGCCAATTAAATGAGACTTGCCCGAAGTCCAGTATCAAGCTTAGAAGTAAATTGAAGCATTCTCAGCCAAGATATAAGTCACGTGTCTACAATTGAAGTGACAAGTGATGGAGACTAACCTACTATCAACCAAAGAACACTTTCCAGTGGCATTGCTGGTAAAAATTTGATGACTCACTACCCTCCAAGTGCTTTCGGGCAAGAGCAAAAGCTGCAATAGTCGAGCCAAATTGTCTATAAAAGGGAAGACAAGCCCCAAGGACAAGGACAAGGACACTCAACCAATCAAACAAACAAACATACAAACTTCTGCTCTCAAACCAAATTTGCATCCAAAAGCTGAAATCAACCCAGATTCAGTCATTTTAAGCAATACTTTCCTTAGAAAAGTTATCTTTTCTCTAGTATAAAGCTCTGCTACCATTCTCAATGTTGTAGTATCGATTCTCTCGTGTAAACATGTTTACCATTCATCCTTTTTAGCATATAACCCCTGTAAAAACAAAGAGAAGTGACTGCAAAAGGTTTAACCTTGCCAGATAAGGTGACATCTTGCCCAAAACTCTTTGTTTATTTCTAAATTAGTAGATCTATTGCTTAATGCATTCTCCAGCATGTATTCAAGTTATTTCCCCTGTTTTTCTATTTTAAGAGTTCCATTTGCATCTGGATCTGGTTAGTTTAACGGATATGTTTTCATTAAAAGAAATATGGAACCAGAAAAATGACTTAAAGGGCTTTGGATTCCCTCCATTCAAACATATAATATCATGAACTAAAAGTCCTTATTTACAAAGCAAGAAAAAGAACTTAACACAGGCTTAACCCATTTGTGAAAATCCTTTAAAAACAAGAAGTTTGAGTAACTTGGGGCGTAAGTAATCGACTTGAAAACACACATGCTCTACATCTGCTATATTGAGATAGTAGTGGTACGCCTAGCACTTAATTAGTTTTGATTGTGAGCCTCAAGGCCTACACCTAAGGCCCCACAAAGGCACCTTTCAGAACTAACTTTGTTTTCTTCTTGTAGCACATCAACAAGCAAGAGCCCGACTACACATCCAAAGTACCAATTCCTTGGAGAGCTGTGCTGAGGTCCAAGGAGATGCTTCTAGAGAAATCTTTGTCCGAACTCCTACATTACCAGTATATTAGTTTCATTAATTTCATCTAAATTACAAAAATAGAGAATCGAACTTGGTTGCAGAGCTCTGCTTAGCTTTGATTCGATGAGATTGTACGCCATGTCTTGCGAACCCATTCTTATGTCTTTAGAGCCAAAAGAAAAAAAATCTAAGTATACAAGTTATATTATAGCATATGATAATATGACTTGCTTTATTAGCATGTGTAATTAGGGGTTTGCCTTTAAATATTTGAAGTGCCTAACTTTAGTGGTGAAGTCATATCACTTTTGTGGGATCATTCCAAGTTCAACACAAGAGTTTGAAAAAACGTTAATGCGAATGGCCCAACCTTGTGTTTTTCACCCTCTCAAATTGTAAAGCAAGATTGTGTTACGAAGATAAGACTACTCGATCCACAGGGGAAAATGCTGCATTTTTCTCTCACATGTGTCGTTCTCTTGGTTACTTGATGACTAAGAATTCATGGTTACCCACCTATTGATTTAATAAGAATTCTTGAATGTAACCAAAAATTCATACTTTCTTTAGTTACCTAAGGTTCGTTTGTTGCACTTGACTAGTTTCGGGGACTAAGCTGGACTAGCTTAGAATAGACTAAGCTGAACTAACTTAGTGAAGCATTTGGTGCAGTGTCGGACTAAAAAACAAGATAATATATATAAGTGAAAAATAGATCTTATTTTTTAAACTAAAGAAATCTAATGCCTAAATAATGTTGAATACGACGCCGTAAAAATTGTATCAGTTGATAAAATTTACATCGAATGTTTGAAACTTCAAGGCCTACTTGAAAATAAATACAATAAATATTACACCAAAAGCCAAAATAAATACAATAAATATTACACCAAAATAAATACAATAAATACAATAAACATTACACCAAAAGCCATGTGTAGAAGATATATAAGGTATTCTACAAGCAAATCTTAACAGTAAGAAATAAATACAGTAAACATCATACACAAACGTTGTTAAAGGATGTCTTCGGAAGTCTTGTAGTTATGAGTTGAATTGAGTCCCAAAACTGAGTGAATGGCATTCAGGTTCCCCAAGTTTAACACAACAACAACTCCCGTCTCACAGATTTCAGGAATGCTAATGAGTCTCCTTTCCATGTAAACCAACAGAAGTCCCTGTTACATATACAGAATGCGAAAGTACATGCCCAGAAAACTTAACTCTTCCACTGGACATCATAATTAAGCTAGTAAGCATGATACAATGCCACTATATCAAAAGAAGTAAACTTAGAGAAATATACACAGATGCAAAACTTCATGTTTTCCTAGTCTTAAGTATATTGCTTTATGTGAAAATATGTAACTGAACCCTATCAATAGAATAAGCAAGGGTCTCAA